ATGTTTGCTCCTATAGCCAACCTAGACATGTTCAAAAGGCTCCTGGCCCACTGAGATTGCCACAAAATTAAGAAAACATGGAATCGTATCCATGAAAAGGGCCCTGAAAGATATCTAAGCCAGAGGTTCTCAGACATTTTCTCGTCTCTTGACTCTTTATACTTTTAAAAATTATTTAAGACCCTGAAAAGCTTCCATTTATATGACTTTATCTGTTGATATTTACTGGATTTAAAATCAAACCTGTAAGTAAACATTTGTTAATTCATTTAAAAATACTAATAAAGTAACTATAGTGAATGTAAATAGCATATTTTTTTAAAAGAAAAAAAACTATGTTTTCCAAAACATTTTAATGGGAAGAGTGGCATCGACTTATATTAATGTAAATAGAAAATAGCTGGATTCTCATTTAGGCTTTTTACATCAATCTGTTGTGACCTGTTATTTTGGTGAAAGTGAATGAAGAAAATTCAGCCTCACCCAGATATGAAGTTGAACAGGGAAGAAGTGTTTTCATGGTCATTTCAAGTAATTGTGGATATTCTTCCATACTAGACCAGGACTCCACAAGTACAGTTTCTGAAAGGTTCGCTGCACTGTGGAATCAAATCATAGCAATGAACTTTTTGTACTGTTACATCAAAATTCATTGGTCTGTCTTGCACTCCTAAATGAGTTTGCTTTTTATTCCATGGATAATTTTTGATGTTGAGTGCTATGATCTTCACTTTTTAAGAGGAAATTAAATGAAAGTTTTCCTTGGTTAAAAAAGAAATCAATATAAGGAAATTAGATGTGGCATAAAAGAGCAAGGTAATAAAAGTGGCAAAGGGGAATGATGGGGCAGGTAGACAGGTAAGGATTAAAGACCCCTGAACTTTGGTCAAAGGAAAGGAAAGAAAATCAAGACTACAAATTTTATAAATTAGCATCTATGGAGCATTTCCAAAGTGCCTACACTAACAGAATGATCTCATTTAATCTATTTAGATCAGTCTGTGAGGTAGGATGTATGTTCTTGTCTCATAGTGGAGAGCTAGTCCCTGAAGTTACAGACTTAGGAAATGGGGGGACTAGACTGGAACCCGCTACATCTGACGTGGCAGCTTGCAATCTTTTAAAAATAATATGAGTTTTTAAAAAATCCAAAAATAACACATAAACTCCTTTAACAAAGAAAGAAAAGTAAAAGATAAAAGCCTCTGGCGCCTTGCTCTCCACCCATCCTCACTTCTGCCCACAGTAGTAGTCAGCACAGGTACTGGATTTGCACCAAACCCAGAGCCCCTGCTCATAATCGCTCCATGACCCTCTTTACCGCAAGGTGCTGGCAGGACAGACAAGGGCTGAGGTCATTCAAGATGACTAACACCTTAGTGCTAACTGTGCTTACACAATACACGGAGATTGCAGGTTCTGGCCACTTTCTAGACCTTCTTAGAGTCATGGATTCCAAGGAATTCTAGGGACCAATTTTCACAGTTGTGGGAGAGAGAAAACAACACAAAGAGCAGAACAGAATAGAAAAGGAGATAAAGGGTGAGTGGTGAGTACAGACAGTAAGCGCGCTGGCCACCCTTTGGTGGGTAAACAGAAGCGCCAGGGAAAGGAGAGTAGCGAGGTGCTCAGTTCCAAAGGGAGCCATCCCATGCCTCCTAGCAAATTTTCCTAGAATTAGCAGTGGGAAGTCAGTTATGAATTTCCCTGTTTGTTGCCCTTCCACACATCACTAAAACGACTTTCTCGGTTATTGTTTTAAAAATTTCAGGAGTACTAGCCAAACTATTTACCTATGCCTATTAAAATCTGATGTGTTCCACTTAGTTCTTTTTTATAGAGAGGTGATGTCTTTTTTTTTTAATGCATTTATTACGGGGATGGAGGAGATGGGAACTGTGGCTGTTAAAAACATCTGCTTTGTAACTTGTAATGGTCATTGTCTCACTGTCCCCTGAAGGAGCCAGTACACTAAAGTGAAGTTGAAGCTCAGAACAAAATATGCACAAAACCAATTCAACCTCCACCCCCAAGAGAAACACCTAAATGTTTCAAAATTACAGTGCCGAAAGCATTTCTTTTCAAACATTCATCTTAGGAAGAGTCTGTGAAAGGGGATTTTTGTTCTTTTTGGTTGAGTCAGTATTACTAATGAAAAGGCTTTGGTCCCTCAAAAAGCCCCCTGAGGAGTATTTTTCAATTTACTCATTTTATTTGTTTTTCAGTACTTTTTACATTATATTTCTTAGACTCCCTCCTCCCTCCACTTTTCACTCACAAAAGTATAATCAAATTGAGATAAACCTAAGGACAGGCTTATGTCTCTTTTTCTCTTACCCCTTCTGTTCCCCAGTCCCAGTTCCTATTTCTCCAGCCCAAATTCCTAAAGAAAAATTATGAAGGGGGAAAACGTAAGGAAGGCTTTAGGGTGCCTTTTTACTACTCAGAGCCCAAGATAGTCTTGGTAGATCAAGAAAAGACTGGCTCAGGGGGATTGGATGAGAAAGGTGAAGGGACTAAGAAGTACAGATTGATAGTTACAAAATAGTCAAGGGATGTAAAGTACAGCATGGGAAATATAGTCAACTAGAGGCCCAATGCACGAAAATTCGTGCAAGAGTAGGCCTTCCTTCCCCTGGCTGCCAGCATCGGCTTGCCTCCAGCACCCGGGACCCGGGTCTTCCTTCCTCCAGCCACCCGCAGGCACCTGGGACCCAGGCTGGCTTCCCTACAGTCCCGGCTTTGTTAGAAAGGATGTCCGGAAGACGTCCGGTCTAATTAGCATATTATCCTTTTATTATTATAGATGATATTATGACAACTGTGTATGACGCCAGGTGAGTAATGGAAATAGCAGGGAACACTTTGTAAATTATGTGCTTGTCTAACCACTAGCCTGTGTACCTGAAACTAATACAAAATAATATTGAGCCTAAACTATAATTTAAAAAGAAGAAATAAGGAAAAAGACTCATCCAAGGTGCTTAAGGCCTCTCCTAACAGCAACCGCTACCCAGAAGCTTGAGCAATTTACACTATTTAATGGACTTACTAAAAATTGGCCTCTTTCTTTCTTTCTTATTCTTTTTAAATAACATAATAACATATTGGCATCGGACTTTTTACAGAAACCATGAAGCAAACAATTCTTGAGAAAGTTTTTTCTTCTCTATAAATTATAGGATTATAAAGTGGCAATAGCAATGAGCTTGCAGGGTACAGCACGGTACCTGTGAGTCAGTGAATAGTACCACCTTAATGTGTGTGTGTGTGTGTGTGTGTGTGTGTGTGTGTGTGTGTGTGTGTGGCGGGGGGATGGGAGTGGAGTAGGGATAGAAAACCAGAGTTTACCCCTAAAGTATGTTGAGAGAATATAATTATAGAAACAAATATTTTAAATATTTTATTTATGAGGATTTGCCTTAATATTTCCTTGTTTATTCTTATCTGTATTCACTACAAATATAGCCTGTCTTTTCTTTGTTTTTGCTTTTGTGGGACGCATCTCAAAACCAGACTCAGTCTTGGATTAGATTCCTGCAATGTCCTACCTTTTAGAAAGTTCCCTTGTGCCAACACATGCCCCCCACCCTTTTCCTTCAGTGGTCAGCATTTAGGGTGCTGCTTATTGCCTTTTAGAAGGGTGGCTTAAGTATTGTTGGCACATTTTTTTCCCCTAGCAACAGTCTTCCTAGGTAGGCACTGGGGGAAACTGAGGCTTCGAGCAGTTGCATATGGTGACTAGTCTATGGGGGAGCAGAGCTGGGACTTCAAGCTGGGTTCTTTAGACATTTAGGCTCATCTTAACCTACTGCTATGCTGCCTCCTCCTTGCAAAGGACCTCATTTGCTGGAAGCTTTGGAAAAGACCTTGACTCAGAGCTTGCCTCCAGCAGACACCCCACAGCCAAGAAATGGGCCACCCAGAACTTAAGGCCAGCTAAAGTGCCTTTGACTAAACTAGGGTTTCCTGTCATTAGCTACTCCTGAGTTTTTGTTTTTTTGCTTTGTTTTTGTTTTTTTCCAGAGAGACCCTGATGCCACAGAAACTGGCTAATGTAAACCCTGAGCCCAGCTTTAGAGGATGAGAGCAGGCGGGAGGAGGGCTGCAATCCTCCGGGCTATAAACAAAAGCCCAGGAACTTGGTGTCAGAGAGCTTTTTCCAGAGTTTGGGGTTAGTTCAGTTCACAACAGGAAGTCATGTTCCCCACCTCGCTCTCACCTCTTCCACTCCAGCTGTAGGGCTCCCCTTGGTCAAGAAAACTGACTCGCAATGTTATTAAACAAAGGCTACCCCCAAACTGGGCAATTATTTAGGCAGGTTTATCCTTTACACTTTTCTAAATTTTCTACAAAGAGAATGTCGCTTTAAAAAGACCAGCATTTAAAAAAGTGTACGGTGGGTTTCCTAAGTTATTACCTCCTGCAGATTGCAGTGAAAAATGGAAGTAACCAGGAAATTGAGATGGTGTACCTAAAAAGTGCTATGTAAACATTATTTGAAAACAAGGAAATTCTACTGAAATACACATTGGTGTCTTGTATTATAGTTTTGCTTTGCCAATTAGACTAAGACCTTCCCCACTCCAGTATGTGGGCTGTAAGGGGTTTTTGAACTTCTTGCAATTGTAAGCATTGGAGTGTGTTTCAGGCTGGAGAAAGATTCGTGTGTGTGTGTGTGTGTGTGTGTGTGTGTGTAAAAGAGACCGGCACCTATATTATTTTGAAGAGCATATACCTTTCAACACACTTTGGCCCCATAAGCCTCCAATTCTTGCCTTCCAGTAACCCCACCTCAAGAAGAAACAGAATCAGAAATTAATGAGAATGACATTTGGAAATGCAATGAACAAATGTGATCACCACCACTCTGAGGACAATGACCCAATCCCTGTCCAGGGCCAGGAGGCCAAATTCAAGTTAACTTCCAGACCAGACTCAGTAAAGGACCACATGCTAATGCCAGGACACTGGCTTTTCACAATGTGTTTTATTATTCATAAAAAAATAAACTTATTTACATTTGTTAATTAACTGTGGTCGTGCAGCCTCCAGCAGCGGTTTGTTCCCCCTGAGCAGGGTCATTAGGTACCAAACAGGCTCAGTGCCAGGAGGGAGAAAGAAAGTGGGCCAGGGAGATGGTGTTGGAGGAGGGGTGACCCTTGCTGGGCGAGCAGGGGGAGGGGGTGGGGGACAGGTAGGGACAGTCAGGAGTGGAAGGGGACTCTGCAAGGAGGTGTGGGAGGAGGGGGTAGAGGAAAGCCTGAAGGACAGGAGCCTGGAGAGGTCAGGAGGGGGTGGATCACCCCTAGGAGGGGACAGGATAGACCTAAGCCTGGTTAGGAAGGGTAGGGAGCCTGCAGGAATGAGGGGTCTGCCCGCAGCACGGAGGCCTAACTGCGGGGAGCACTGGGGGCAAAAGGCTCAGGTGTTCTCAGACTGCTCCCGCTTCTGGGACAGAGAGAGGGCACCCACCAGTCGTTCCGCCTGGAGGGCTCCGCGCTGTGGGATACTAAGCTCACCCAGGAATTCACTCTCCTCTCTTTGCAACTTAAAAACCTGCCCAATGTGGGTCTCACGCGAAGATTCCTGTCTTTGAAGCCGATTGTCACGGAGAGAGCGTCCTAACCAGTCTAATGGTAAAGGCCGGGCTGCGCAGAGCAGTGCCGTCACGTGTGATGCATATATATAAATACATATATGGCTCAGCTCGGAAACTGACCCCAGGGGGCTCGGCACTGGGCTCTGATGGCAGCGTGAGGGTCTGCACTGCTGGAGCCGGAGGTCGGATCTGAGACGGGAGCAAGCGCTTCCTGGAGGGGTGAAGTGTCCTCGCCCAGGTCCGCCGCTGCAGCCGGTGCCTTGGGCGCCCTGAGACGACAGCAACTCCGCCAACTCTAGGGCTCTGCCCCCTCGCGCCCGCCACTTGTGTTGAAAATTCGGAGTGGGGGGTGTCTAGGAGAATCCAATGGAACTCCTCCCCCCATTCTCTGGGGGTTCTCACGTAGTCTCCCTTCTCTCCGTGGCCCCCAAACGCAGGCGCTTAACCAGTAACCCATGGCGTTCAAGTTCGACCTAAGCGGTGGTCCCACAGAGTCTGCTGGCAGCTGAAACTTCTTTGGTGTCAGAGTCGGGTCGCCCCGAGACCACAAACGGCCACGTCTGTAAAATCAAAAGAGCGTCAGATATACGAGGAGAAACGGCAATCTCAAACCGAAACTGCTCAGCTAAGCGGACCTGTGAGAGTCCTGGTTCTGAGTAGCTCAGACTTCATCAGCGCTCTGGAATGTGCCTGTCTTCTCTCTAAACTAGAATTTAAAATTTACTGGACTCTGATTGTGTAAGATGTGAAGGGGGTCCATCCATGCTTCCTGCTGACTATGCCCTCCCCATCATTCAGTGAAACTTGAAGGAATCAGGAATTTGGTCATGTAATCCCCTTCCTCCAACACACACACACACACACACACACACACACACACACACACACACCATCAGCCCTCCCCTCTCAAGCCAGAGTTGGCAGGTCAGAGAGGGACTTTCCAGACAGATCCCTTTGGGGGAAACTTCTGCTATTCTTCAAGAATTAAAAAATCCAAAGCCTTTTTAATAAAGCTCGGCCTTCCCTCCTTCTTTTCAGAAAGTAGGGCTTGTTCGATCAAACCTGTCAGACTCTTAGCTGGAAAAAGTTGCGCGAGGAGGGAGATTTGCCATTTCCTCTGCAGAGAACCCAGATTCACCCTGTAAGTAGGATATCAGCCAACAGTAGTCACTGGGCCAAGCACCGGGTACACGGATCAGAATGATGCGAACCCAGAGGGCGGCGGTTCTTCTCCAGGAAGATGGCTGGCTCCTCCCGTGCTTTGGGGAGAAACTAACCTGGCGTCCTCACCACCCGCACTAGAACCCTTCTTTGGGGTTCTTCCCAGCGGGCTGACTCCGCCCAGCTCGCAGGGAGCGCCGCGGGCACCTCCCGGCACTGCGCCCCTGGCATCTCCCAGCGCGGCGCCCCTACCAGGTTCACCGGGTGCACGTAGCCGTTCTCGTAGCGGTCCTCTTGCAGCAGCTGCCGCAGGTGCGCGATGTAGCTGGAAGCCAGCCGGAGCGTGTCCAGCTTGGAGAGCTTGGTGTCGGGGGGCACCCAGGGCAGGCTGGTTTTGAGCCTGGAGAAGGCTTTGCTCAGCACGCGCATCCGGGCGCGCTCTCGGGCGTTG